AAGCTCAGACTTCGGGTTATTCTTTCATGCGTTTATTTCAATTTCGATTTTTCTGATAAAAAATGGGCTTTTGTGGAAGGAACAGGACGACTTAACCAAACAAAACAATGTCACAACATTTCTATGAAATTTTTTGACTTGTTCATGATTCATTGAATGCAACCGTGAGAAAAAAAAAAGTGAATATTATCTTATCGGGTTGTCACATTTTGCATGTCTAATAGAATTAAATTTATTTAACACAAGTAATAGTTTGAATACAAGAGTAATACAAATTACTAATGTTTTTATCTATTAATGAGTTGTACGTCGAAAAAATCGTAATGGATCACACTGTTTTAAATATGGTGAAATTTCACCTTTTAAAATCAATTGAGTTAATTGTGCACCAGTAGCTAAACTATTTAAAATTCCCCAACAACTATGACCCTAAAACGTAGAAAGAAGTCAATTAAATCTAAGTCTTCAATAAATAATAATTTAATTATTTACTGCTGCAACATAAACATTATTTAATCCATGAAGTCGTCCAATTATTGGTATGCCATCATTTGATTGTGGTAAATAACATGCTTGTTTGATTTCTACATTTGAATCTTTTAATGTTGATGCTACATGAACAGCAATTTGACGAAGACGTTCACAACTATTCTCATCAATTGATACTGAATTACCACTATCAGATAAATTTTGTGTATGCTGTTCTGAAAACCCACATACATAAATATCACCATCTAAATAAATTTATATTATTTCTTTCAATTTAATAGAGTAAAAAAGAACAAAGACAAACTTGGTCGTGGATAAATTTCAGGATCTAATACATTACCATCACTTGATTGATAGGCAAGAAAAAATGCATAAGGTTCTGTTGGTTGATTACCTTTAAATACGATACTATGTGCTTTAACTCCACTGATAACATCTAATTGATGAGAAATATTTTCTTTAAATATCATAGCATCTCGAAACCAAGGTGCTGCTTGATCTATATGATTTAAAAAATGGAAAATATTGAATATGAAATAATATTTACTTACATGTCCATGGTCCCATAGCAAGTATAAATATATCAGCTTCAATAGGTTCTTGATTTTCAACTAATAATTTAATAGCACGAACAGGTGATGTTTGATGATGTTCATCTTTTGCTGTATGAGTTGTTATAGTTTCAAAAAGAAATCCATTTGCTTTACCAATAATAACACGTCCACCTCGATTTTCAATTATTTTTACTAAAGCATTTGTTAACAATCTAAAAAAATATATAGATATGCATCAAAAAATATTCTATTTATTAAAAAAATTTACCCTGGATGAACTTGTGCTGTTGTATCTTCATTTCCTAATATTTCTTTTTCATGAACATCAGCCGTTATCCATTTTGGTAATGATTTATCATCATCAGTTTGTTTATTTGTTTTTGTTTTACCATGAGTTTCATTGACTGATATATTGTATGTCGTTAAACGACGATACATAACATCAGTAGAAAATTCATTTTTTAAACGTTTAGAAAGCTCACTATGAGCTAAAAAACTTGATTCAGAAAATTTTCCTTCAACACCTGAACGCCAATTTTTTGCAAGAAATCCTCCAGAACGTCCACTAGCACCACAAGCAATATTTGTTCGTTCAACTATAGTTATATTTGAACAACCAGCTTCTGATAAATGAAAACCGATTGAAGCACCAATAATACCACCACCTATTATACAAATGTGATTTGAATGTGCCATTTTAAATGATAAGAAATACACGTCAGATAAACAGAACCCGAATCAAATTCCATCTGACTGTTCTTTTGACTTGCATATGGTAAAAACCAATCAGAAAGAGGCTTTTTAAAAGTAAGATGCCGCAAGTAGTATTAATAGATAAGATACACGTGTGCTATCGGTTTCGATTCAGTGTGCTTTAACAGTATAGACAAACATACGTTTGTTTTTAAACATGTCTGAAAAAAATATGGATGATAGTATATTACCTCAAATGAATACAAGTATTCCACAAGCATCTCGAATTTTACTTAATATAGAAGATTATCATCAAGCAGCAAAAGAAAAACTTTCTAAAATGGCTTATGATTATTATCGATCAGGTGCTGATGATGAATTGACTTTAAAAGACAATGTTGAAGCTTATCGACGTATTAAATTACGTCCAAGAGTATTTGTCGATGTATCTCATCATGGTGAAAATCCTAATAGTTGTTCTGTTACTTTATTAAATGGTCAAACAACTTGTTCATTTCCTGTTTTAATTGCACCAACAGCAATGCATCGATTAGCTGATGATCGTGGTGAATTAAGTACAGCACGTGCAGCTGTTCGTGCTAATACAGTCATGATACTTTCATCATTATCAACAACACGTTTAGAAGATGTTGCTCGTGAACATCAACAAGCATTAAAAGAATATCCAACATCAACATCTCAATTATGGTTTCAATTATATATCCTTAAAGATCGTAATTTTACGGAACGACTTGTTCATCGTGCTGAAAAAGCTGGATTTCGTGCGCTTGTCGTTACGGTTGATGCTTGTCGTTTTGGTAATCGTGAAGCAGACCATCGAAATGGATTTCGTTTACCTGAAAATATGCAATTAGAAAATTTATATGATGGTGACTTAAAACATGCACAAAGTGATCATGTATCAGCATTAAATGATTTTATTGCAAGAAATCTTGATGCAACATTAACATGGTCCGATATTAAATGGCTAAGGCAAATAACTCGATTGCCTATTATTGTTAAAGGTGTCATGACTAGTGAAGATGCTCAATTAGCTGTTCAAGCTGATGTTGATGGAATGGTTGTATCGAATCATGGTGCTCGACAAGTTGACACAACATTTAGTACAATTGAAGTTTTGCCTGAAATTGTTGCTGCCGTTCGAGGAATGCAATCTAAAAAAAAGATTGATATTTATTTAGATGGTGGAATTCGACGTGGTACAGATGTTCTTAAGGCAATAGCACTTGGAGCAGATGCTGTACTTATTGGTCGACCTGTTCTTTGGGGTCTTGCAGTAGGTGGATGTCAAGGTGTAGTCGGTATATTCGAAGTATTGAAACGTGAATTTAAACTTGCCATGATGCTTTGTGGATGCACATCATTACCAAAAAATGGCAAGTCTTCAACTCTTGTTACAATGCCGAAATCGAAACTCTAATATAGAAAATTAATTTAAAAGGATGATGTGATTAGCGTTGTTTACTCTATGCTAGAAAGGACAAAAAAATTAAAGAATAGAAATTTTCATATATTATCAATGATTTGTCTTTTTTTTTTCTTAATCATAACTTTACAATTTTTTCTTTTATGGAATTCATTTCATTGAACTAAGAGTTTCTTTTTTTTAAATTTTATTCTTCCATCATTAATATAGAAGAGCCTTAATGAATAATATAAAAAACATTGTCTTGAGCAACGCATTAGATGAACAAGATAAAGTATGTATTTTGAATAAAATAATCAAAAATAAAAACCAATGTTTTTAGTTGCATATCAAATTGCATTCTATTAATCACGATATTTATTTTCATTAATGCTTACTCACTACGCTTATCGAAGTCGATGGCTAATGAGTATCATGCATGTTAGAAAGACTATCGTGAGTTACATTATTGAGATGATGACGAGAACTCAGACATGAATGATGTTGATGACAGTGAATTGTGAGAAAATGTTTGTGAACAAGTTAGAGATATGATGATTAGGCGTCGTAGCATTATCAAATGAAACCCATCATCGATATTTAGTTATTATGCACATTATGGTGCATGTTGCGTATCAACACGAGACAATAATAATGCATTACATGAAAATAAGAAATAACTACCTATACTAATCAAAGTAAACGACAAAAATTACAAACGAAATGCAATGATGATTTTAGTAATAGTAATGATAACCATAAACAACGCATTATATGTAGACGAAAGTTAAAGAAAAAAATGATTTGCTTTAAAGTCTCTTCGTAAACGAATGTTATAAAATTTCAAAATATAATCAATTTATCAATAAGTTAATGCACAGATTATGTGTTTCATTTTGATTAGTTTTATCAGAAATATATCTCGATAATTTAACAAGAATATATGTGACAATAAAAATGTATCTAAAAGAGCTGCTGAATGATATATTCTGTTGATAATTTATCTTATGTCATTAGCAAGTTTTCACGATTGAATAGAAGAAAAAAACACAGAACAAGAATAAATGTTTTGTTGATGAAGATAAAGAAGTCTGGAGAGTTGTTGATATTATAGGCAAAACGCAAAGCTAATTCTCAGAAATTGTAAAGCAGATATGATCAAGTGTTTGCTAGTACACTTATTATAATATTAACTCTTTCTTGTGAGTTATCCATGAATATAGCAACTGTCTTACACGTTGACATCATTGTGAGATTATTTTGTTGTCCCATTTTTAATATGAAGAAAATATAAAATCAAGAATATTTTCATGTTTTCTTAACTGACCTACTTGTAAATAACTTTATACATATGCTACGGAATCATGAATACACTGTTTACATGTTACATCACCATCTATGGCTTTCGTTCAACTTTATTCAAAAGGAAGAGAAAGTCTCTCAAACTGAATATGAAAGAATTCACCAATGTAAAAGAGTTCTCTATTTGGAAGAAAGTAGCTAATACTTCTTGGGAATTGCAGTGAAAGCATTTTCTTTATTAACAGCTCAAATTTTTCTTGAAATTTTTTCTTGTATTCGTTCTATAGGAAAATATCAAAAATTCCATTAAACATCAACTAACAAAACTTTTCAGAGAGAAAAGCTAAGTGTAACAGAAAATTTAAGAGTAAGAAACCTATCTGTTTCTCCTCCCTAATTGTATGACCTGATACTAAATCAATAAAAACAAAAACAACAGATAGAACTATAAAGAAAATATATTACAATCAATACAAATGACCATTCTTCGAAAAATTCATGTTGTTAGCATTTTTCAAAATTTTATTTTATTTTCATTATGATTCATTCTCCGCAAACTTGTCACTAAAATCTCGATATTTAATCATTTCCGATTCGTTTATTGAAGGTTTTATTGTGAGAAGAGCTGCTAACATATCCGCCTTAAAATAAATATATGTCGGATTGTTTATTATTTAATTGAAAATTTTCATAGCAACTAACCATGGTTATTGGAGGTATATATAGTTCATTAGGTTCTATTTTATCTATTGCGACTACTTCCGCATTCGGATCTTCGGATGAACAAGCAAACCAAAGTTCACGAGAACTATCACATTTTATATTTGGCATCTATGTAGAAATTATAAAAGATACTAGATACAAAAAACACAAAAGAAGAATATGCACTCGTTTGAAATGTGTTGCTGACATGAGTGGACGAAGAGGTCTGAATAATGCTTCACGACAAACGATCATAATATCAGCATTAGAATAACTACAAGAAAAAGATAATCATTCTCTATGTCATAAGATATAAAGCATACTATTTAGTTTTTTCTGCTAACTGCATCCATTCATGTTCATTAATAATATAATTATCAGTACTAGCATTCAAATACATTTTAAACATAGCTGCTCGTTCATTCAATTCAGGTAATGGAATATAGATTTGCTTTTTAAATCTAACAAGTGAAGACATATAATATTAAATGCTATGATAAAACAGATAAATATAGATAATATACCTTTGTCGAATAGCTGCTTCAAGTGTCCAAGGAGTACTACTGGTAGCAACAAGGAAAATACCTGTATTATTCATTGTAATATCTAATTTATGATTATAGAATTAGATTGACATTATTCTTTTATATTATTCACAAAAAGTACCTTCTGTTTGAATTAAAAATTCTTGTGTTATACGTTGATATAATTCTGATTCGGAATCATAACGTTGTCCAGGCAAACCATCAATATCATCAATAAATAAAATACATGGTTGCCGTTGACGAGCTAATTCAAATATAGAATTAACAGATTTTTCATTGTAATTAAGATATTTTGGCTGAAATCCCCATGCATTTACAGAAATAAATGTTGTTTTACATTCAGCAGCAAGCGACTTAGCTAAATAGGTTTTACCAATGCCAGGAGGCTTAAAAAGAAAAAAAATGAGATCTATCTAGAATAATAAACTTACTCCATAGAGTAAGATAGAAGTTGAAAAGTTTTGTTTGTCTAAGAATAAAAGCATAATATGACGATACAACTGTCCTAAAATATATACTTGATTTTACCTTGACAAAGTTTTGGGAATTTAATAGGCAATTTAATAGATTCGAATAATACTGTTTTAGCGTTTGCTAAACCAATGACATCATCAAAGGTTACTGTTGAATCAGTGACAATAGATCCTATGACAAATTAACATGTGCTATACTTTTAAAGAGTTTATAAAATACAGTCTAACACGTATTGAATAACATATTTATGTAGTTTTAATATTCATTTGCGTTCAGTAATATCTTATAATAACTTTCTTATTCATCGAAGGATAATTTTTGAACATATTAAACTATTTTTGTAAAGTTTTACTTTGACATGCATAGAATACATTATTTTAAAGGATTCTTATTTATAAACTATCACTGATTTAACAATAGACTCATTTGTTTTCAAGAATATTAGTCATATATCATTTGTCCAACTTGAGAAAAGTGAATATCCTCAAAGTATATTGAAATACTTTCTATCAATTAAATTCATACATACGAAAAAATATATTTAAAGATATCAAAGTACATTCAAGATTATCCATTTATAAAATTAGAAAAAAACTATCATGTACAGTTATGAAATAAGAATAAACAGCAATAAAAAAATATCACTACTTAGTTTTTGTAAATTTTATAATCATTGATCAATATAACATAAGACTTACTTTTGATAATGTGTTTTGAATTTATATCTTTAGTCTCATATTCCTTGTTTTTATTATCGTTGAAACTTTCACAATCAGTAGTATCATTAATAAATGCTTCTGTTTTCGTTGCTTCATTCGTCATAAAATTTTTGATTTCTTCAACTCGTTTTAAATAACGTTCGACTTTAGCATGTATACTTTCCTTCAATTCTTCGTCCATAATTCCGTCTAAATGGTATATACAATTCAGTTTTCAATTTCTTCGAAAATTTACTTTGAATACTTACATTTTGTACTATGTGTTAAACAGTCTGATGCTGCCAAATATGTTTGTATAGCCAACTCATAGTTATGTGCTTTATCTTCAAAATCAGCCTGCTCAGCGAATTGAAAACCTTTCTATGAAGTAGTAAAAATAAAAGGTCATATCTATTCAATTGTAAAGTCATACCTCGATAATATTCGTTAGATCAATATTCATTTTTTTAATAATCTCTTGAAGAAAGAAACCAATTGTTGAAGTACGATATTCAAATCGCTTAGGTATTCATCTACAGATATCAATAATAAAGCATGTTCAATGAATGATAAATAAATTTTATATTTATTCATACATATGCTATAATTTATTAGATTTCATGGAAATATCTAGAAATAACTCTACGTTTTACACAACAGAGAAGAATAATATCATAAGAAACATATCAGTTAGCATAACTTTAATAAATGATTTTTGTGGCTGTTCTGATACATCTCCAATACAAGCCTTAACACATACGCAAATGAAGTTTTTTCAATAAGAAAACGTTTTTTCTTTCATTTTTAGAAAAATTTTAGCACAAGATCTAGATTGAATTCATAACTCATAAATGTAAATGAAATTTAATTATTTTTGTAATAAGAATTAGATGACACGAAATTTTTTTTGTGGATGACTATGTAAACGAGAATAAAATCAATAGACAGAGTATTACTTGGTAAATATTCTAGAACTATAATACTAGATAAATCATTTAAAATTTTCAGTAAACAAAATATCTACTTTCATAGAAACTAGAAAATCAATCTTAATGTTTGAAAGCGTAGATTTTCTTCGTACTCGAAAATTCGCATGCAAGACATAATATTGATGTAATAATAACTAGATTTTTTATGAAAACAAATGAATTATATCAGAGTTCATATGAATTGTTGTAAAAAAAAACAGCAAATTAACAAAATAAAAAATATTCTGATCTATAGAATATAACACAAGAACGAATATCATAGATCATTGGAATGATTTGTACAAAAATTCTAGTTCGTAAAATTTTTCGTTTATTTTCTTTATGAACCTTCTTGGCCAAATTCTTGGGTAAATTTTTGATATTTTCCCAATTCATGTTCACCTACTGTTGCTTTTTGCGTAGCAAGTGCAGCTACCATATCAGACTAAAAAAAAAGAAATTATCTATCTCAATTTCTAATTTAAGTAACAAATTTTTGTAATAACTAACCATGGTTACTGGTGGTTCACATAACTCATTAGGAGTTATTTTCTCTAATGTAAATGATTGAGCAGCTGGATCTCCAGGTGAACAAGCAAGCCAAAGTTGACTTGGACCATCATGTTCTGGATTTTGCACCTATGTTAAAACCAAAAAAATATTAAATAAACATTATTAATTGAAATAAATTTACTCGTTTGAAATGAGTTGATGAACTAAGTCGTCGAATAGGTCTTAGTAAAGCCTCTCGACAAACAACAGCAATATCAGCACCAGAATAACTACAACAAAACGTAACTATCTTCTATACTATAAACATTAAAAAAAACTTACTGTTCAGCTTTTTGTGCTAATTGCATCCATTCATGGTCTTTTATTGTATGAAGAGTTTCGATACCCAAATGTGTTTTAAACATATCTGCTCGTTCATTCACACCTGGAAGTGAAATATAGATTCGCTTTTCAAAACTAAAATAATTTCAAATAATCAATATGCAACATATGTTTGATGTTTAAGTATACCGTCGTCGAATAGCTGAATCCAATGCCCAAGGAATGTTGGTTGCAGCAAGAACAAGAACACCTGAATTATCTGTTCCAACCCCTAAGTAAACATTACAACATAAGATTTATTCATTCTTATGAATACACACAATAAATATACCTTGCATTTGAACAAGAAATTCAGTTTTGATACGTCTTGATGCTTCAGATTCTGTATCATTACGCTGTCCACATAAAGCATCAATTTCATCAATAAATACAATACATGGTTGTCGTTTACGAGCAAGTTCAAATAAGCCTTTTACACCTTTTTCACTTTCACCCAAATATTTCGAAAGAAGATCAGATGAAGTGATCGAAATGAATGTACTTTTACATTCCGTAGCAATTGCTTTAGCCAAAAATGACTTGCCAGTACCAGGTGGCTGAAATGAAAATTAAAAGATGAAACCTACTGAAGAGGTTTAAACTTACTCCATAAAGTAAAATACCTGCCCATGGTTTACGTTTACCTAAACAATAAAAGATATAGAATATGTTCAACATTGGTCGACAATTTTTAATCGTTTTATGCAAAGATATACCTGTGAAAAGTTTTGGAAACTTAACTGGTAAGATGACTGCTTCTCGCATTGCCGTTTTAGCTTGTTCTAACCCGACAACATCATCAAATGTAACATTTGGATCAGTGATAATAGCTCCTAGAGTAAAAGTGGAACAATATTGTTTATATTAGAACGATAGACATGATAAAGTCAACCTTGAAATTTTTGCATCATATGTTTTCTCTCTTCATCTATATTATCATCATCACTAACTTTATGACGTTTTGACCTTTCCTGACCATTATCATCACTGACCACAGCTTCTTTTTTCTTTGGATTCTTATCATTGATCTTCTTAATATCTTCTGCTCGTTGAATATACGTCTTAACTTTTGCACGTATTTTTTGCCTTGTCGGTTCGTTTATAGCTCCATCTAGTAAAATACATACATCACAGTTCAAATCTTGGGATATTTGCTATCATTACTCACATTTTACCGCATGCAGAAACCAATTTGCAGCAGCCATATAGGCTTGTGCAGCTACCTCATAATTTTGTGCTTTATCTTCTGAAGTAGCGCACTCGGCAAAGTTCACGGCTTTCTATAAAAATAATAATAATAAAAATCAAATTAATATTAAATTAATTTCCAAAAACTACCTTTATAATATTATCTAGATCGATGCTCATTGTTTCAATTATATCTAAAAGAAAATAGTATTCAATATATAAGTATGGAGCGAAACATTCTGAAAAATAAATTGTGATAATCAACTAACAGTACTGACAAATACTTTCTTCTTCAAATGAAATGTCAGATTTATATGTTTCTAAGTTAAAATGAAGGATATATTGAACATGAAAAAAAGAAATTAAGTTCTATATCTTTTAGTTGCAAGATACAACTCACAACTGAGATATAACTATGAGATTAGTAACAGTAAAATGAACGAAAGGTCTAATAGTACTGTTGTCTATCTACAAACGTATTCATCTTAATACGCGATGAATGACACACATATTAACACGAGACATATTAATATATACTGTCGGACGAATGAATCATTTAAATAATTTCGCGTTACTCAGGAAAGAAAAATATATTTTATTTTTTTTCAGGACCTTAAAATTACTCAGAATAGTTTGTTTTACTTATGCGTCATTCTTCTTACTCATTTTTATCGGTACGCATGCCATCAGTAAATACATATGACAAGCTGTTTTGGAAAAAAACCCAACATTTACAAGTGGTGGTTACATTGTATGCGAGTTATTTTGAAATTATTTTCATATTGCAATAACTATACATTTATATCAATTAGAAATACTTGGATTACCACGAATGATCTTTATATAATTCAAAAATAACTTCAGTAGTATTCAAAAAACAAAAAGAAATTACTGATATTTGTTATCGTTGAAAATCTTCGCAAATTGTTATCTAGTTTTAAATATGACGAGACGAAAAGTAATCTTAATGCAATGTACTTTTAAGTTTGCATCAAAATTCTATTTAATCTATAAAGTATTGATGAACTTATTTTTCTGTAGTGAGCTGATAATAAATAAATAAATAAATAAAACTCTTAAATTTTAATTAAGTTATCCATAAAGACAAATCAATAAAGTATTACTTGATAAACAAAAATTTATTTTAATACAAATATAATGCTTCAGAAAATCCTTCCTCTCTTTCTAGAGTTTTTCGAGAACAACACGACGAACAACTATGAAACTCTCAAGGTACATAGGACCTCGATGAGTACCGCAAAATTTGAACAGCCAAAAATGGCCAGAAATTCAAAGTGATAGAAAATTGGCAGTGTTCTATGATGTTAGAGATCTATAATCCAGACTCTCAGTATCTTTGAAATGAGACATAATCATTATGATTAGAAGAGTTTTGCATACAAAGAATAATCATCACGCTAGTTTTTCCACTATAAATTTCGAGAATTCGATTTAATAAAAGTACTAACTAACAAGGAAATGGCCTCATTTATATGGCATTTGACAGAAGATACTTCGCAGATATATTCACGATGAAAAATCAAAGATCGAAAAAATTTCGATTTAGACATCGGAAAAGGCATCACCAAAGTTGTTAATACGAGGTTTCAACAAACGCCTAATTGATGGTAAATCTATTAAGTTAAAATTGTATTGCTATAATAACAATATATTCATTATTGTAAGTTTATGTTACAAATTACAATATTCTCAATCAATATACGACTTTTGTCAAAACAATATCTCTTCTTATTCTTAATCGTAAGTCATTCTACAAGAATGATGAAACAATAATCTGTTCTTCAATTAATTTAGACAGAACATTTAAAACAATTATTTTGTTCATGTTTTCTTTACAAAATTGTTTTCAAATTTATTTTCTTCGATTGAATGTTCTAATCGGAAAATCATTATAAAAAAATATTATGTTTGTAAGATTTATTTATATGAATATAGAACTGTTCAAGTATTTAGTCAAAAAACGTAGGAAGAACGAATCAATTAATTATGACGCTTACTTACTCTAGAAGGTGTAGGAGCCCTTAAAATATGACATCATCTTTGCACAATTTATGATTCCAGTGCAAAATCTTACCAATTTCAAAGGCAAATTTTAATGTTGCCGGAATTTATGTTATACAATTATACGACAAAGAATACATGGTTCATTGAATTATATCAATGACTACAATTGAATGATCTTTTTCCAACAGTTAATATATCACATAATTACAATTATCAATCGATTAAATACAAATTTTCAAAGCATCTAGGTTTTCTCTGTTTATTATATGTTCAACTGTAAGAAAATGACGTTGTAAATGACCGTAAACAATATAAAATAACAAAAGTCAGCTCTATTATGTTGCGACACTCATTCTTTCACAAAACGATTAAAATAGTTTGAGTGAGAATGACCGTTAGCTAACGGAAA